CTGCAGAGTACAAGGGGAAGGAAAGAGCAGTAAGCCGATGGTTCAACTCGCAATGCGACATGTGACGTGTGTGGAGGACGCTGCTATTTTCATGGCGCTTGCAGCTGCCGTCGACCTGAGCATCGAGGCGTGCAGGCCGTTCCGAAGGAAGATCAGGAGAGCGCCTCGGCATTCTTAGGGGGAAAAAATGATAGAAAAGGGAAAGGAAAAGAAGTGTTTTTAAGGTAAATTTGATGTGTAGAAACATAAACAAACATGGGAATACATCTGTATGAATTTTATCTTCCGAAGGCTTATAAAATTTGGCATTTTGTACAGTATGAGCTGATCTCCTTTACATTATCTTTTTGAAGGCCATAGATTGTAACTAATTAGGCTTTCCAACCTATACACATAACTAAAATGTATATTCTCAACTGTTGATGTGTAATTAATTTATTATTTTGTCAATATATATTCCATTCGTGTTGTGTGTGTGTATATATATTTTTTGTATTTCTTGGAAGCAGTATCATGTGGCTTACCTGAGTGAATCTCTATAATCGAGACTTGTTACCTATGTTGAGCAACACTATAACTAACGTGATTTAGTTGATCGATACATTAACGTCGACCTAAGCGTAGTTCAATTAGTTAAAACATATAATTCTAATAAAAATGTCGTGAATTTAAATCTCTATCTTACGTGTTGTTGTATTTATAGAAAGAAAAATAAAAAAATAATATATTAACTTCTCTTTTTTTTTTTTGCGCATGTTTAATACATTAATGGTAAATTTAAGAATTTTTAAAGAATCAAATTAAAATTTACTAAAATTAGGAACAATTTAGTATATTTGGCCTCAAAATATTTCTCAAACAAACTCAGGCTTTTGAGTTTCTAATCACATTTTTATGAAAAACATATTTATTGAAGTTACTTTAATTCTTGAATTTATTTGAGAAATTATTTTGGCCTACATATTTTTTTTTTATTTTAAAATTGACAATTTAACCCCTATACACTCAAAACTTTTTTAAAAATATTCTTGTAAGGTATTGGATGTTGATTGACAGCCAGCAAAATTTAATCCAAAAGATAGGTGACAAATAAATAATTAGTTGTCAATGCTGATATTTTACTAATAATTAATATTATAATGTCTTTTTTTTCTTTTTTTTTATTAGGAAATTATTATCTTATGAAACTCTCGCATTAACTTTTTTTTAATGCTTATGTAGCACCCTTTTAACGAGCAAATGCACTTTTGTAGTTCTTTTACAATATTTTTTTTTTAAATCAATATATATATATATATATATATATATATATACATATTTAAAAATATAAATTTAAATCTCATTTTAACCCTAAGTTTATTCTATTTTATCTTTAATCTTTCAAAATATCCAATTTGAACATTAAACTTTCACATTTGTTCCATTTCAGTCTTGGAAGTTTGAACTATACATCATCCAAATGATCCTTTTATTTTTTGAACTTAAAAAAATAACCTGATCCATACTTTCATTTTACCTTTTAACAAATTCATAACATAGTTTCGAGTATATGTACTAATGTATTAATGCGAAAATGCATTCAAGTCATGAAGGTTAACCATGAGTATTGGATATGCAGATAGAAAGTGACAAAATAATATAGCACTGAATAAAATAGTTCAAGGGGGTGTTTGGGGGAATGAGTAAAGTTATTAAGTCTGGGAGTTGTTTTTGGTGCAGACTTATTAGATCTGAGTTGTTAAAGTTGATTTTTTTATAGTATAATTAGAAATAAATTCCAATGATTTTTTCACTTTAATAATAAAATTACTATAATAATTCATTTAAAGAGAAAAAACATAATGATAGTCTAAAATAGATTTCATACAAAATTCCAAGAACAGATTGAAAGTTAAAAAATAGATCAAATCAATACAAACATGAAAATTCAAGCACCAAGAAGAACATCTAGATTCTAAATTTAATTTTCTTTTCTTTTCTTTATTTGAAACTTCCTTAAATTATTCATCAATTTAATAAGAAAATAATAGGAATGTTGTTGATGAATGGATGATATTTATTTGTAAAATTATGCTCTTTTTATAGCCCATTAGAAATAATAACTAAACCATAAATCAGGAGGAAAATATTTGTATTAATTAAAAGTCGAATTTACCTAATTCAAACCCCTAATTTTCTGCAAACCTTCATGTGATGAACCTTGAATTAATGGCAGAAAAAGAGCATTGCAAAAAGTTACAAGACGAGTTTCAGCAAAGGAGAATTTCTCATTCTTCACTATCAAATCACACATTAAAACCAGAAAAAAATAATAATAACAAAACAAAACAAAAAATGAACCACAAACCCTAATCTATTTCACTCTCTTTTCTTTCGAAATGAGATTTGTAAAAGTTCAGAAATTGAGGAAAGGTTGTTGAAGTCCGGACTTGGAAGACAGTAACTCCGGAGTTCCTAATTAAGCGGCCCCAAACACCTTCTAAGTGTCTAAAATAGTTACTTTTTAAAGTTTAAAGACTAAAATAGACCTTTTGAAAATTTCAAGACCGAAATAGAAATCGAAAAAAAAAAACCTGAAAGTTCAGAGACCGAATAAGTTTTAAACCAAAAATATATCTGTCCAAATTCTGAAAGACTATTTGAAAACGTAACAGTGAGCAGAAAAGTTCAATTCTTAAACTTGAATGCTAGGTAGTGAATAACAGACCAAGATGAGTCTATCCAAATTTCAGACACATCATGCAAAAGCCAAATATAAGAAGCTAATATATTGAAAAAGTCAGTGTCATTTGATCAATCAGGCATCAGTATCAAATTCTGTTTTCTGTAATTATGATCTGTGTCAAACTCACTACTGTTCCTCGGTTGTCTTCAGGAAATTCTCGACCTCGGAGATCGTGCTCCGAGCATTATCGAATTCTGGGCCTTTCTCTTGTGTAGATTCTTCCAGTTCAGCCTGGAGATGGGGAAGGAGAAGAAAAAAAAAAGTATGCTTTAGGTACGAAAAATCAAAACCGGGCACGTGCACAAAACCTTTTAGAATCAAGCTCGTCAGGAGAGAAAAGGAAGAGAGGAATGAAAAGGAAAGCTAATGATAATACCAATGCTCCTTTCAGATCAGCTAAGGAGGCCTCCAGACGCTTGTGACAATCTGGAATCATCATCCTTGATTCAGCCAGCACATTTTCCTGAGAAGGAAAATTGTAAAATCCTAATAATGCGAAGAATAATTCAAGAAGATTCATATGATGATGGGATTACATTCAAACTCCATTACCCAGAAGTTAAAAGAGTAAAATGTAGCTCAAATTAATCAATGTTTTATAACAAGGCAACACTTTCATTCAGAAAACCACCAAGGCTGAGGAACAACCTAAGGGACCGAGGGACAAGGTGGTGTCCCTTCGCTCAAAGAGGGAGATTACGAAAGAAACCCTCCAATTTTATAGGTGGAATAGTTTACGTCTTGCACACTCCAATTTTAGACTGTAAACGGTACAAGCTCACCAAAATAATAAAAAGAATTCGACTTATCAGAGAAAGAGCACTTTTGTACCAAAATCTATAATCTTGGTACTTGTGTGGATTTGCGTTACCAAAATCTATATATATATATATATATATATATATATTTTTAACTAGGAGTCGGAGTTTTGCTCCCCTATATCCACGGACACCCACGCCGCCCCAAAGCCCAGATCCGGGAGACATCAAGGGTTTTATGGTATTAAGCTCACCAAACAGTTCGAACTCCAAACCTGTAGGACTAACCGACCCCAACCTTAGCTGCCCCATTGGGCCCAAATTGATAAACAAGAGTTGTTCTATGGGCATTCTGAATAGATAAATAATGTTTTAGTTCGTTGTTTTAAATTTATAATATTCTGAAAATAAAGTTCAACAGCGATGATGATTTAGTGGATTAGTTAGCTTTAGGGCTCTCTTTGTAATTTAGCAAGTATTTTACCCATGGTAACTAACTACAACTAACCTAAGGAAATAAACAGTAAACAAGTAAAATAAAATATTAAGCTAAATTACAAAGAGAGTACTAAAGCTAACTAATCCACTACAAGTCTACATCAAATGAGAAAGTAAAAGACCACAACAATTTCAAAAGTCCTACCTGATTACCATCTCTATCCTCCAAATTTGAGACCATTCTTCCTCTTTATAGTTTATAGACCAAACCACTCATCTTCATTCTCACAAGTTCTATTGTCGATTTCATGTTTAACATTTTTGTCCATCCAAGGTTTTGTTTTTGGATATCCTTAGAGGTATATGTCTTACAAAGAAACAGATAGCACAAAGCACAAACAATATCACAAGCAGTCAGGCAGACTAATCATACAGAACTGGGAAATGGCAATTTGAGACATTAAATCCTAACCACAACAAGAAAATTTTACAAAATCAACGGAAGATAAAAGCATGACACCTTATGCAAAATGCAAAAAGAATTTGATGATATTCAGAAATTAATGATCATAACTTGAAATTTACAAATACATATTTTCCTTCTCTGTACTTATTTTATTTTTGTCATATCAGTTTCTAATCATAAAAAAGAATACAACACAAGCTAAAGGGAAAAGAAATAAACTTCATTGTCTGTTATAGATTCATTAATGATTTTATACCATATACTATTTTTAGTGAATCAATGAAGACATATACTTTAAGAGTCAGCAGTATATGATTGAGAATGCAACCCATCTCCTTCTTAACACACACACAGGTACCTGTTGCTTAAGGTCATAAGGGTCAGCTCCCTTTTCTTTCATGTCAGCTGTTTTGGCAGCCTCTCTCTCCACCTCCTTCTCGTAAGAATGCAACTCCTTGATAATTCGTTTGCAGGTTGCTGTCTTGATCTTCAGATTTCTTACAGTAGCCATCCTTACCTATCACAAGAAGCACTTATCATGGATTTGAAAACCATAAACATCCTATTAATTAGTTTTCACACCCTAAATTTAATTCACTGAATTGAAGCAATTTAGCGCCAAAATTACCAGGGTCAGAAATCAGGAAGGGATAAAATACACAACGACTCGAGAACTTGCAAACAGAGAACACTTAGCTTTTCACGAACTAATCTTGGGAATGCCAAAAAGCATGACAGCACAGATTTAATTAATACTTTTAAGAGTCGATTGATTGAGATATGAGCTAAGTTCTTTTTTAATTAATGTTGTCAGTTTCTTATAGTTAATTTGTTAAGGGCTATTAGGATTCATGCAATTAATTCATAGTAGCCAGTCAGTTAGGCACATTGTAATCCGCTTCCTTTCTCCGTTTTCAATGTAGTATGAAATACAACACAGAATATGTTCTTTCCTCTTCTTAAACTCTGAGGTGGTGTTTGAGCTTTAGACTCTTGACATGGTTTCCAAAAAAAGTTTCCACACCGAACTAAGTTGTCAAAGTTTCTTCAGTCGTGAAAGTAAGTTCTTCTTCAAAACTCCTGGGTGGCAATAAAATTCATTCCCACACCTTCAAATACAAAATTTCTTTTATAGTGAAATCAAGCAATGGCAGGGATTAGAAAGTCACAAACTTCTTTTTTTTAGATAAGAAACTTGTATATTCCACGAGGAAAACAAAAAGGAATAACCTAAGGGCTGTGGTAGAGAAAACCCCACCCAAAAGGACTACACAATTCAAAACCATGGAAAGGTTGTAGTTACAAAAGAATTTGCTACAGTTGATGCACCACCAAGAGGCAGTGTGTTGTACTATACATTTCTACAAAAAATATCAAAAGAGGAAGACTTATCTTCAAAGACTCGAAGATTTCGTTCCAACCAAAGATGCCAAAGGAGAGCTCTCAAAGCACACCTCCACAAAATCCTTGCTTTTTTAGGGAGACTCCAGCCATGAAGAACATCTATTAACCAATCATCTATACGACTAGGGAAGCAAATTGACATACCAAAAATATCCATAAGAAAAAGCCAACCCCGAGCCGCGAATGAGCATTGAATGAACATATGGTCAATTGACTCAGTGTTGACCATACATAACGATTTCAACCAAAACTTCTTTCATGGGGAGCAAACTTCAATGTTTTAACTTCGATGAACTGCAGCCTACATTTCTGATACCTGAGGTCCTGAAGATACTTCAAAGAACGATTTCAAACAAAACTTCTTTCATGGGGAGCAACAAGATTCTCTTCAATAACCATGGATCCCAAGTCAAGGTTTTACAGTTAGGTTCTTGCTCAAGGAGAAAAAGAAAAGGTAAGTTAGATGATAAATGAGTATCTTCTCAAACAGTTGAGAATGTTGTATAATAATTGTGCATCAACTCTGTGTTTCTAATCACGTCAAAGCCATATTTACTGGCCTAGGGGATGAATAAGACACCCTTCAGTAATCTATGAGCTCTTAAAACAAAACTGATTGTTCTGAAGAAACTGAAACGTTGCTGCTAGCTCAGAGTCACATAATCAGAAGAAAGTTCCCGGTCTAAGAATAACTTCCAGCCTGAGATTTCTAGTCAGCACTCTGCACTTAGCTCGGTTACACGGACTGATTTCCAGCCTACACTATGGATATCCAGAGATGTCAAATGTCAAATCATAACAACAAAAACTCCAAATGCCCATTTCATTTGCGGAGACGATTAAGGCCTAACATTAGCATAACCGCACTACCCACATTATAAAACTCGAATCTAAGCAAGTTTAGGAAAAGTAGATGAGATCATAGCTGATACCCCAGCATTAAAGTAGGCAGACAATAAAAAATAAAAAAAGTAGCGCCAGTAGGGTTTTTGAGATGCAAGGGTTTAACACGTACCCTCTGCCTCGGTGTTCTGATTGGAAATCAATCTGGTGCATTAGAGGCCCAATTATATTGAAAAAGAACAACAAAAGCTAGAAGATGCCATGGAAAACCTACATGCTCCGGCAAAATTCGGCCGTCAAGCAATTTTCAGACCAAAATTTGACGAACCAATAGCAGGAGAATAAGACCCTGATTTCTTCTGTGGATGTTAATTTTTTTTTTTTGGACAAATCTTATCGAGCAAGTGCCAATTTGGTTCTTGAAATTTCAAAGTAGATATTTTTAGTCCTAAGGTTTAGGAAATGGTTCTAAATAGTCCCTAAAATGGTTTGACGGTTAATTGACTAACTCTAATAAATGATGTGGTTGTTAAATGACTGATTGTATAGCTGGTATTAGGAAAATTTTATTAATTTAATAATATTTTTATAGTGAGTAGAGTTTTCATCTCCTTGTTCCTCTCTTTTCTGGTGAACTTTGACGCCGGCCGCTTCTTCGCCGCCGTCTGAAATGTCTTTACAAGGAGACTGGGCTTGGCTTCGGCAAGCCTTGATTTCTCCAACCCTTAGACAAGGGCAGAAGCCTTTCCCTTGGGCAGAAAAATCTTTGAGATTCCACTGCTCTACGCTTTGCCATGGGAACATATTCAGCATAGTCATCTTTCTCTTCCATGTTCTTTTTGTCCATTTTTACATCCATCCCAAAGTCCTTCTCTACACTAAATGAGTGTAAGAAATCCAATCACAAAGCACATCGCAGCTAATTCTAGCCCTAGAAATCGTGAAATTTCCTATCTCAAATGAAGAATTCCACTCATGTAATAGTCACAAAGTTCCAAACGACAAAACCCAACTGCAGATAACAAATACAAATAAGAACAAGCCTCTCGAATTGGATTCCTCAGTGCTAGATTCCGATTAAGATCTTCGAAATGCAATGCCATTTTCAGTTCAAGAAAACCACAAAGGGATTTGGAGTTAAATAAAGGAAACGAAGAGCTCCATTGACAAATCACCCGATCATAAGAACCCGCAAACAGTATCAGAAGGCAAAAATTAGCTATAATTTACCTGAACCTTTTACAAGGGAAGCAGATCACTCCTCTTCTTCTTCGTTCTCAGGAGCCGGACAAGAACCAAACGGAGAAAGTGATATAAATCACAGAGGGAGCTTGGTGAGCGAAATTTTCAGATCTGGAAGGGTTTCCTGTTCCAGATCTGGGATGGGGGAGAGCGAGAAGGCGGACGACAGCTATCGCTCGAGCGGCGGCGACGGAGGCGCACAATGGGCGGCGGAGGCGAGGAGGTGGCCAGCGGCGAAGTTCACCGGAAAAAAGAGGAGGAGAAAAAAAGGGGAAGGAGATGAAAAGTTTGCTCACCATAAAAATGTTATTAAATTCCTTTACAAAACAAAATATTATTGAACTAATAAAAAACTTTCCTAATCAGCTATCCAGTCAGCCCACATCATCGGAAATATTTAGTCAATTTTGGGACTAAAAATGTCCCTTTAAAAAATTTTAAGTCTAAATAGACACTTATTTCAAATTTTAGATATCAAAAGCGAGTTTTCGACCCCCAAAAATGCAGGGTTACATGATTTTATTTTATCTTTTCTTTTTCGCTGCATAATTAGAAAGTTAAAAAAAAAAAATTTGAAAATAGAGATCAAAATAATCATTTTTGTTTTTAAAAATAAAGACAAGTGATAAAACTAAAATTAACATTTGAAATTTTTTAGTTTTTATTTTTTGAGACAAACATATGAAAATTATATTGACCCAAATGAATCCAAAATTGAAAGTATAAAGACGAAAATAATATCTTAATTTTAATAGTGGTATTTAACAGAAATTTTAAACATAAATTCATAATTTTGTGTTTAATGGCCCTTTGTCTTACCTTTTCTAGACAATTGAAAGGTTAGATATGTATTTAATACAAAATTTAATTTTCGTTTTGGTCTATACTCTACAGACATGTATTTTATACGAAATTCAATTTTTGTTTTGGTCTAGTTACATTAATTTTTTTTAGACGTTGAATAGATCAAAAAAATAAAAAAAGACTTAGTATACACAAATTTAAAGTTAATGGTACCTATTAAAATGTGGTCTTCTGGTCGATCTTCATCCCTCAAACACTCTCACCTCTGCTTGCTGAAGTTCGGGGTATTTTGGAGGGGTTAAAATTTGCTCAATCGTTAAATTGTCTTCGTATTCAAGTGGAATGAGACTCGTTTTTGGCAATTAAGACGATTAAAGGAAAATTCATACTTTAGGACTCACTTTTGGCAATCTGACTCACTTTTGGTTGATGGAAGTGAAAGCTTTAGCCCGAAATTTTCCATCCATCTCTTTCTCCATGTTTCTAGCTCTTGTAACAATTTGGCTCATTTGTTGGCAAAAAGGGGAGTCTCTTCTTTAGCCACGTCTGTCTCGTTATCCAACTTCCCTCGGTGTATTTTGGATTTTGGACTCTGTTCGGGGAGAATTCTCTTCACTTATTGACCAAGTAGCTTAATTTATTATATTTTCCTTTCAAAAGTACGATTTGATATTCTTGAACTTATAATTGTATCTATTTAGCCAATTAACATTAAAATGTTTTAATTACATTGTTAAATTTATTTTTTTAATTACATTTTGTCAAATACATCCCTATAGTTAACTGTATTAGTTTTCCTTTTTTTATCCAAGAGATTGCATTAATAAGAAATGTGATCATTAAGGGTTACATTCAGAATCCACAAAAGAAAATATCTACCCAAAGGATTGATAAACGATCAGAAATGACACGTTTGACCAATAAAACAGTTTGCTTGTTCATATGAAAAATTTAACCCACACAACACCTTCCTAAAGTCACAACATCTTCAACCCCATTCAATATTGTTGAGGAAGACTCCTCAATTAGTAGAGGAATAATCTTGGAACAGAGATAATTTATTCCAAAATTACCTTATTCTCCACCATGATAGTCTCAACCATGATACGTAAGGAAGAAGCAAAATTTCCTTCCTTGAAATTGGAGAGTGAAGCTGGCCATTAATACCCCTAAAATCCGCTTCTAAATCTACGCCCTGACAAAAAGTCACAACTACCATATTCGAAGACGGTAGTACTCTGACTGCTGATTCCGATGAGTTTTCATGCCACCGATACATCTCTTCTTCCATTCTAATTTGTTCTGTCCTATTTATCTGATTATGGTCATCACTGATGTCCTTCTAATAACAAAGCTATTAGAAGCTTGGTTGGGAGCTTTATCTTCCATTTCTTGTGCAATTTTTTGTGTCTTTAGAATTTGCATGTTATGATCATTCAGCGATGTTGATCATACCTCTTGTGGAGTGATTCGAATCACGAGTTTAGAAATGAGTTTTCTCTACTCTGGATATTGATCATCAAGGTAATCCGTTCTTAAACTTTTTTTTGGGTTGATTCCATACTTGTTTTCAGGGTTTTTGGGATTGAGTTTCATGGGTCTTAATCGTTAGCAAGGCTCTTAGATCCAACTCTCGAGGGTTTCTTAACATGATGTTTCTTTTCATTTTTTAGTACAACAATTATGAGATGAGGGATCAAACCTCCAACCTCGAGAGAATGAGTAAGATATTTTCATCACTAAGCTATGTTCATGTCGACAAAATTTAATGTCTCATAAGTACTAAATACTTCATTTTTTGTTTCTCAAAGTTCACAACAAATGAAGGGTGGGTAAATTGAAACTCCAACCTTATGGAAGCATATTCATCGAACATATCTCATATTTAGATTAAGAGACTATCTATTTAGCTTTCCCATGAGAGACTTTCTCTTATTTCTTTCACAAGCAAGTACAGTTTCCAAATCGCAGTTTCTAAACTGAAATTGAATCGATGCAAGGATTTTAGTGTTCATTAATTAAGAGTTCACATACCCAAATAGTTCTTAATTCCAATTAACTAAAGTTTTTTTTTAAATAAAATAATTCACTAAAGTTTAGTATCAATATTTCATAGTATAGAAGTGTAAATTATTGCTCTCTAGCCATAATTTTCATATGGTATCATTTTCTTTATAATTTATTACTTTTTGTAATCATCTCGTGTATTTCACTTCCTAATAAAATAAGTTTTAGGTGATAAAATGTCGATAACACGCGCGTGCACTGCACATTCTTGTATTTATCTAAATAGGATTATACTGTAATAACTTACCATGTATGCTTTCAATCTAGGTAAAATTATTTACATTTTTTAATTCAAATGAGGACAAAGAAATTTTCTAATATTAATAAATACACTTAGCAACATAGAATTCTCTCTCAAAAAAAAAAAAAACCTTACTAATTCTAACAAATAAATACACAAAATTAAGCTGAATCAAATATATGAACAAAGCAAAATTATCACTTAACCAAAAAGTCACAAATTTCAACAAAAATTCAAACATAGTATTATCTTCCTCTAAAACTCCATTAATTTTGTCCGAAATCCTTGTAAAAATTATAACAATTATTTCAAGTTAAAGCTTTACAATAATAATAAGTATCTTATCCACAAATTATTTTTTAATTAAAAAAGTAAGACTCTTTGTGCTAACCATTTTTATTTTTAGTTTGTTGTTGTTGAAAATTAATCTTACAACCTCTACTTTCACCAAGTATTCTTTTGTCTTGTTACTAACTAAAATATATATATATAATTCTATATCAAAATTTGAAAATCAAAAGAAGTGGTTTCTAGAAACTTATTTTTGTTTTTAAAAAAATTAGGCTAATATTTAGATATATTATGAAGAATTTAAAAAAACATATTAAAAAAATGGTAAGAAACAAGAAACAAGCCTAATTTTAAAAAATGGAAATCTTATAAACCCTGAAATGACAAATTTGAATCAAATGGTTACTAAAATCAATGATTGAATCATGGGTGACATAAATCAAAATGTGATCAGATATGTTGTACGCTAATTTTAGCACCGTTCAAGACATGGATAAGGAAAAAGGAAAAGACAATTCTCAACCACCGTTGGATCTAACCACTGCAACCCACCCATGGCATGGCCTACCTGCCAATAATTTTTCAGAACCGCACCCCTTTTCAATCACCATCCTCCTCCTCAGGCCTCCGCCATGAAAATAAAGCACAGAAAAGCTCAAACATTTCCTCTTCTTCCAATCAAGAAACAGAGAAGGATGATGGGCCAACCTGGAAAGTGGGTGGCGCTGGTGGCGGCGATATGGATTCAGGCATTTGCAGGCACCAATTTTGATTTCCCCTCCTATTCCTCCGATCTGAAGGCGGCGCTCGGGATGTCGCAGGTGGAGCTCAACTATCTGGCCGTCGCCTCCGACCTTGGGAAGGCCTTCGGTTGGTGCTCCGGCGTCTTTCTCTTGTATTTTCCCCTCTGGGTTGTCATGCTCATGGCGGCTTCCATGGGGTTTCTTGGCTATGGCCTTCAATGGCTCCTCCTTCAAAGGATCGTGTCTCTGCCCTACTTCCTGGTTTGCTTTCATGCCCTTCTCTTCTCCCCTGCAATTCATTCAATTGTGTAAAACTTCAAATACCATAACCTAAATTGGATGCATTTTCAAACAAATTCCGAAAGGGGGTTTTCGTATAAGAACCTACATAGCTCAATTGATTAACACATTAATAGACACAATAATGGGCAGTAAGGATAAATAGACACAATTGTTCATCCGAATGGATTTTCTTATAAGAACCCTATCTCAATTGATTAAGGTATTACCAACTTGTGGCACATGCAGTAAGGATAAATAGACACAATTATTCATCCCAACAAAATTGTCACAATAGTGGTTAGGGTGGTTAAGGTATATTTCTTTTTTCCTAGAGTTTTGGGATTCAATCCCACATCCCAAATGAACAAAAAACAAAACTGTCACATATTTAATACCCTTGTCATCTACTAAACTAGGAAGAATAAAAAATACAAGATTGGGGGGGTGGGGGGGACAAATTGGAAAGAATGATCTGATTTACCTGCTTTGTGACAGAGGTTCCTTGTAATCAGGTATATCTTCTCTGCTTGCTGGCTGGATGTAGTATCTGTTGGTTCAACACAGTCTGCTATGTCTCGTGCATTCAAAATTTCCCGGCGAACCGAGCGCTTGCACTGTCCTTGATTGTCAGCTTCAATGGCGTCAGTGCAGCTTTATACACCCTGATTGCCAATGCAATGGACCCCAATGATGCTAGCTTCTACCTCTTCCTAAATGCACTGGTTCCTCTCATCATCTCTGCCCTTGCCCTCTTCCCTATCCTTCATCAGCCTCCGGTTCAGTTGCCATCTGCCGATGCCACTCGCCATGATTCCCTTGTCTTCCTCTGCTTATACGTCACAGCAGTTATCACTGGCCTGTATCTAATCATCTTCAATCCCATGCCTTCCAACAAATCGGGGTCCCAAATTCTGTTAGCAGGGGCCATTGCCCTTTTACTATTTCCTCTTTGTTTGCCAGGAATTCTGAGTACTCGCAAGTGGTTGAGTCGGATCACATCCACCAGCTTGAGCTGGCTTAATAACTCTAGATTCAACCTTGTCGATCATGAGCTTCACCAGGAGCTCATCACTGTTGGAACAGAAAGAAATGGCACTAAGGGATTCATTCCTTTTGATTATAAGGAGAAGGATAGCATTTCAACGAAGGTGATGGAGAAAGAGAACTTGGTACTACTTGAAGAAGAGCACCAGGTTAAGATGCTCGTGCGGCGGTTGGACTTTTGGCTCTATTATGTTGCATACTTTTGTGGTGGGACAATTGGATTGGTTTACAGCAACAACCTTGGGCAGATCTCAGAGTCACTAGGATACAGTTCGTTGACAAGTTCGCTTGTAACACTCTACTCTTCTTGCTCCTTCTTTGGGCGGTTAATCTCAGCAGCCCCAGATTTTATCCGTGAGTATGTAGTAACAGCAAAAGGTTCATATCTTATCTGCATACATTCATTTTTCATTGAAAGATTAAATCTAGATAACTTGAGACCCTCCATTTGCATTAGAAAGTGTGGGTTCATATTCTTTCTTCTAGACTGCATACCTTTTTTTTAATAGATAAGAGACTGAGAATGTATTAAGAACAGAAGGAAAAGGCCTAGAGGCTGGGGTAGAGTGAACCCTGCCGCGAGAACTAACACAAAAAGGTCTTTCGTCATTTACAATTATGAGGAGGCTTAGTTATAAAAGAATTTCGTATGATTAGTGCTCCACTAAAGATTAAAACTATTTCCAAAAGAAGGATACTTATCCTAAAAAATCCTATAATTTCTTTCTATCATTTCTTTCCAAAAGTGACACAGCAGGGACCTCCATGCACATCTCCATAAAACTTTTGCCTGCCTCTTAGACTTCATACTTTGTAACAGCAAAAAGGTTCATATCTACATGTATTCACTTGCCATTGAAAGATCGAGGTTAGATAACTTGAAACTTTCCATTTGCATTATAAATTGTGGGTTCATATTCGTTCTTCTAGATTTCACGTAGTAAATGCAAAAGGTTCATATCTACATGTACTCATTTGACATTGAAAGATAAGTTCAGATAACTAGGAACTTTACATTTGCATAACAAAATATGGGTTAAATCATATTCTTTCTTCTAGACTTCATGTAGTAACATAAAAAATGTCTATATCTACATCTACATGTATTCATTTGCTATCGAAACTTATCATTTCCATTGGAAAGCTTGACTTCATATTCTTTTTCTAGACTTCCAAAACACATTCAGTGAACAATAAGAGAGAAAAATGATGCTCATGGATTGACTTTGTACCTGTGCAGAAAGGTGTACTTTCCAAGAACTGGGTGGCTAGCCATTGCACTGGTGCCAACTCCAATTGCCTTCATTTTACTCGCTGCATCAGGCAGCAAGATAGCATTACAAGCCGGCACTGGGTTGATCGGCCTAAGCTCTGGATTTATATTTTCAGCCTCTGTTTCAATCACATCGGAGTTGTTCGGACCAAACAGCGCAGGAGTCAACCACAACATCCTCATAACCAACATTCCCCTCGGCTCATTCCTCTACGGCGTCCTAGCGG